GATTTTGCAGCCGGGCTTGGTGGCTCAGCCTGTGTCCCTCGCCTTGGGAGGCTGAAGTGAGTGGATTGCCTGAGCCCACGAGTTTGAGACCCGCCTGGGAAACTTGGGGAGACCTCATCTCTACAATAAATCAAAAAATTAGCCGGGCGTGGTAGCGCGCGCCTGTAGTTCCAGCTACTTGGAAGGTTGAGGCGGAAGGATAGCCGGAGCCCAGCAGGTCGAGGCTGTGATGGCCGGGAGCGGCCACTGCACTCCAGTCTGGGCAATACAGTGAGATTCCAACTCAAAAAAAAAAAAAAAGTAATTTTGCATTTTAAAGCAAAATTTGCATTTTCATTTGTTATTTATCATCAATATAAATGAGGAACACACATACCAACACCAAGAAATAACATTAAGATTTACATTTTTTCTTCCTCAAAGTAAAAACAGTGGCCAATGGAAAGATGTTGCTTACAGTACACTCCCCTTTGATCTCTCTGGAGACTTCATATCTACCTTTCATGGTAATAACATTGAAAATTAATGCTAAAGACACCTATCAGTCTTTGTCATTTGTTTTCCTAATCACACCTGGGTTTTGGATTTCCACATCAGACAGCTGCTCAAGGTAAATTTTTCTTAACATCCAAATATAAAGGTGTCTCCTTTCATGTTCCATTAACAGTTCTCTATCAGCTCTCTTAACACTTTACCCTTTGGCACAAATTGCCATGATGCTTACTCTGAGGAACATGGCTGTCTCTACTTATTTTACAGTCTTTTCACTGTATTCTTACATAATCAAGACACTCAACTAAGATGGTATTATACAAGAGTTTTTAAAACTATTCTAGAAGTCATCTGCTTGAATTATCAAAAAACATCCTCATTAAGTGATGATCTTTTCAGTCTACATGGACTATGGTCCTACTTCTTCAAGAACTCGGTGCCCATCGATGGAGAAAAACTATGTGTTACAGGTAATGAGCTATGACAAATTCTATATCAGTATGCCCTGTCCCACGCATTCACTTCCTGTATCTCAATATCCTGTCCTTCAATCCCTACATCCAATATCTTTCACTCT